CCCCCCCGCCGCCCTCGTTTCGAGCCAAGCTTTATTCTGCCATGTTTAGGCACAAAGATCATCCAGCCGTTCCCGGCGGTTCCGGCTGAAGCTGGCATCCACCCGTCGTTCGGAAACCACTGCTCACCTTCCCGTCCTTCGTTCTCGGCATTGCAATGGCCGTGACTGACTCTCGGCATGTCAGGTGACGCCGAGGCCGAGGCCACGCCGAAACTACTGCCGAGGCTCCCCGCTATCGGACTGTCTATCATGGGCTGAGTGAGGGCGGAATGCTCAGGATCGCCGTAAGGCTGCAGACGAGGAGAGGAAGACTTGCCTCGCGGCATGACGACGGAGCATAGTCTGCCGCAGACGGGATTGTCACCCTCATCGTCATTCGCACTCACGGACCCACATGAAGTAAGCTTTGGGTGTGAATGATTTGACCTCGGACGATCTGCATTTGATGGCAGGGGTCCAATGTGCTTGCCCGCAATGGGCGGAAAGAGGGTGGTTTGGCAAATGTACAAAGTAACAGGAATGGAAGTTGGGATCGGCTATCCCGCCCAGGCCGCCACTTGATCAAAATGAGTCCGAATCCGATTAAGGATTGGCAACCAACGCTAGTGGAAGAGGCAGGGTTTGTGCAGTACCTGATTTCTATCTGATATTATCTGATATCTGACTGGGCCGTGAGCGGGATGAGGTGTCCCGCATTCATCTCATCGCACGACTCTCGACTCAAACATCGCACACGCTTGCACACTGCACAATCTGAGTGCCGCCGACGGTCTCACTCACGTCGCGCATCCTTCTCTCCTCGGACCATACGCACTGCCCGCTGTCTGGGCGCCTGGCATGCCTCCTTGCAAGTCCTTCAGGGGACGTGGATAAACCCTACAGCTAGACCCTGAACCGGCCGCCATTGCCGCCGGACGCCTCTTCACACTTGCATCGAACCCCATGCGGCCCCGGGACCCTCGGCGTGCCTCCTTGCTCTTCGCTCTCTTGGCCATCGTCGTCAGCCTTTGTCCACGACCAACCACGCAGCGACGACTGCGTCGGCTCTTGACTTCATTCTCACCCGGAGCATCTATTTCTAGTCTACATGCGGTGCCTTCAATGCTGGGCACAGGGCTCATGTAACCTGGATATACATCGTCCCTCGGATCAGGCGGACTCCCTAAGATCTTCCTCGCTCCTACCACATCCTCGAGTCAGCTCGCAGATGCGCACCACCGGAGCCGGGCCGGTTACCCGGATGGCAGACGAGGAAGGACACCCACCCTGAGCGCCGGACCCTCCGGACCAAAGCGGGCAGCGTCTTCCTCTCCGTCACGGCGCCCTGGACCTCCACACCGAACGCCGAGGCCCTCCCTCCGTGCCTCTTCTCACCCAATGACCTAAGGCGAACGCCTATCTCGCCAAGCCTAAAGCGGACGCTTGTTCGCTACTCGCTGCGGCGCCCGGACTGCCGGCGGCACATGCGGCACACCGGCCGCACACCGGTACACCGGCTTCGCTCTGGTGGTATGCCGGTACTCCCTAAGCAGAGCACACTCGAGAGCACAGTGAGATTGTCCGTTGCTGTGTCACCGTCGATTGCAGATAGATCCGCCCTCCCCGCCCGTAACATCCTTTCCACAAATCCGTCTCCGCTGACGGAACGGGCCTGCGTTGATCCGGAGCCAGCACCCCCGGACCTAGTGGTTCTCTTTCAGCCTGTCACATCGCATTGGCGATCGGCGTCCGATGCGCCTCGTCGGGACAGTTTCGGACAGTCACCTCTATCTCACACTGGGATTCCTTTTTTTGTCTCTCGCCAAGCGAGGCAACTCGGCACGTGCAGATCTGGATGCGGCCAGGCGATCGTCGTTAGATCTGCACATAACTCTGCCCACTTGTCAAGTGACTCAAAACACTCACCGGCCCCGTCTGCGCCGAAAGGTGGGGTGATCTGCTCGGTCTTTGTCGGAGACCAGGCGCTCACCCAGCCGCCTGCGACGGGTGCTCCGAGATCTGACTGACGACGCTCGTGCCTCATCCGAAGATGCACTTACCTTCCCACGGTGGTTAACCAAGTCGTGGAGGCCACGCGACCACTCGTGATCACGTGCGGGTAGCGGAAGCTTTACAGAGCGATCGGAGAGTCACGTGATAAAAGCACCGCGCGCAGCCAGCCAACATGCGATCGTCGCGTGCACTAATCCCTGAAATGATCCGTTCTAGGCGGCCAGCCAATTGGAGTGCTGGAGCCGAGGTCTCCACCCCAGGTTCCTCGTCATCCCTCGCCCAGGTGCCTCCGAGTGCACCCAAGTGCTCGCAGGTAGGGCGACTCCATCACAGCGTCACCGCACAGCATCCTTCTCATCCTTCCAACCTCCATCTCCTTCTTTCCATTGTAACCCCTTTTCCGACCACCACACCACTGGCATCGCGCATCGCGCACCCGACACGATGCAGCCAAACCAGTGGTCTCAGCAACAGCAGTTCGGCTACGGCGGCGGATTCCAGTCCGGCGGCATGGGCGGACAGCAACAGCCGAGCTTCATGCAGACCCAGCCGACCGGTTTCGGACAGGCCCAGCAGCAGCGCCCCATGCAGACGGGCATGCCGGGCATGCAGGCCCAGCAGACCGGTATGC